AAGTTTATGAATGACATCTCTGGTGGCGAAATGGCGAACAGAATAGATAAAGACACATGAGAAGTAATGTCTGCAGGTGTCTAACCAGTTGGTGAAAGAGAAAATCAGTCACCCTAATTGCTATGAAATAGGAAGAGAAAAATACAACTTAGATTCTTATCAGAATACAGCTGTATGTAATCTAATAATATAGCCCCAACCCAATATTATTTCATTTGTTTCTCCTGAATAAATTGGGACTTTCCAAGACGCATTGCTAAGCAGAATACTATTAGCAGGCCAGACAAGAGACATTTAAACAATTGTTCAATAAATATCATCGCTGACTGTTTAAAATTATATAAGTAATACCTTCTTGAGGTTAAAAAAATCTAGTAACACAGAAGCATATAAAGCGGAAAATAAAGAGGACTTTCTGTCTCTTCTCTGTCATTCTATTCCCCTGATATAACTAGTAACCCGTGTGTTTTCAAGACATTTTACTGCATGAACAAATACACACTCTTTCGTCTTTATGAAAAATAAATGGACTAAAATTATAATTCTATATATATGTACATAAGGCTATAATGTAAGATTGATATTTTTTTCAATCAGAAAAGAAATCTTATCATACACGTGCTATTACTTGATTTATCTCATTTTCCCCCCAAAAATACATCATGGAAAACTTTTTAAGCCAGAACATACAGTCCTACCACAGTCTTTTTTAAAAAATTACAGAATATTCCATAATATGGAATCTCATAAATCATTAAACTATTCCATAACATTTTATCATTTTCTCAAGCTAGATTTTCACACAATTATATATATATATATTGCCATGTGTATTTAGAGACCTAAGTTCCAAGTCATTACCAATGCAAGCTTTTAATCATAGAAATACTGTCTGTTTTTCTCTATTATCTGGAATAAATAAGATACTAGGGATTTTTTGGAAAAGTCACTTTATCCCATTCCTTCTCATACATTTCACACTAAATATATTGGGGGGCAAGAAAGTGGATGTGAAGCCAACTGGCTGAGTTTAATATACCCTGTAGACCATAGTTAAGTATGTAAAAATTTAATAAACTCAAATTTCCAGTTACTCTGGCCAAAAGTTTATGTTCAAGAAATATTAACTGACCATCTTAAAAGTAAATCCTAAATGTTGGGATAGGTAGTTAGGCGAAGTATCCCTCTAATGATTCTAAGGAAAACTCACTGAAGGAGTCAGTGCAGATGGGGTCATCCATGCAGCAGCAGCTATATTTTCTTTTCCTTTTTGCTTATCCCCCCTTGGCACTAAAGACACCCTTGTGTACAGAGAAATTTTGCAGCTGGGCAGAAGAGACAAGCATCTGGCTAAGAAACAACACTATAACTCAGCGCAACTGTTGGCTTTCTACATTGATCTTATTAAATTTCAACTTGTTCTTCTGGAAAAGAGATTCACTAAGAGAAGAAAAAATATTACACAATTATTTCTGGTGTAATGGCTTAAGCTAATAGGCTTCACATAGCATCTAGGTGGGAAACACATTCGCCATCAAATGGGGACATGGCCGGCATGGGAAGTCTTCTTGGGGTCATCAAAAACCAAGATAACCTCCCCTCTCTTCCCACCAAAAAATTACCAGGATATCTGGACTACTCCTTTATATCTGGAATATTTAGCAAAAAGGATAAAATTAATAGTCAGTTAGTATAGACACAGGTTGAGAATCTTTGTTAACAGAGTTCAGTGAAAGCAAAATAGTTTGCTGGAATACCAAAGAATCAATATTTTCATTAGTGTAAATGGAAACGTCTACACTTCTACTAATGTCCATATTATTAGGGATAAGGATACTGTCCAGAAAGCAGAACAAATAATTTCCCAGGCCTCAAGCTAAGGTAAAGAAAAATTATGACTAGGTCAAAGTTGGTTTTTCTATTTATAAATGCAAACAAAAACAAACAAATAAAGCAAATAAACAAAAACAAAACCCTGGAGGGAATAGAGATCAATATTCATATAACAGATATCAATATCAGCAGAATATTTAAATAGTATAAATATTATAATATAATTATAAATAATATAAAAAACTATGGCCATCATAGACACGCACCACTTTCTCAGGCACTGGATGGGGTACGATGGGGTTGGGCACAGTACAAAGCCAGTAGCATGCCTATACTCATATTCCAGAAATGACTCTGGAACTCTCTTCTCTTATCTTTCCTATGGTCTTTCAACCCTCTGTCAACTCATTCTCTGAGAAGCCCTTGAGAGGGTCTTCTGAATAGGATAAGAGAAAAGAAGTTGTCTGCAAGATGCTTCTAGTTCCACTGTAGACAACATAGCAAGAAAAGAACAATCCAAGGCACTAGCAATTCTTATAAACTAAATAAAGCTATCTTGCTTTTGTGAATCAATCAAAAGCCCTTTAATCATCAAGATATATTTATATAACTGTTGCATGCATCAAAACCACAACGAGGTACCACCTCACACCTGCCAAAATGGCTAAAATGAACAACTCAGAAAACAACAGATATTGGAGAGGATGTGGACAAAGGGGAACACTTTTGCACCGCTGGTTGGAATGCAAAATGGTGCAGCCACTATGGAGAACAGCCACTATGGAGGTTCCTCAAAAAATTAAAAATAGAGCTACCCTATGACCCAGCAATTGCAAAATGCTGATTCGAAGGGGCACATGCACCCCAATGTTTATAGCAGCACTATCAGGAATAGCCAAATTATGGAAAGAGCCCAAATGTCCATTGACTGCTGAATGGATAAAGAAGAAGTGGTATATACATACATATATATACACACATATATATACACACACACAAAATGGAATAACAGTACTTGGTGATCAAAAAGAATGAAATCTTGCCATTTGCAATAATGCGGATGGAACTAGAGTACATTATGCTAAAGAAATAAGTCAGAGAAAGGCAAATATATGATTTCACTCATATGTGGAATTTAAGAAACAAAACAGATGAACATAGGGGAAGGCAAGAAAAAATAAGATAAGAACAGAGAGGAAGCAAACCATATAGAGAACAAACTGAGGGTTGTTGGAGAGGAGGTGGGTGGGGGAATGGGCTTAATAGGAGATGGGCATTTAAGGAGGGCACTTGTTGGGGTGAGCACTGGGTGTTATCTGTAAGTGATGAATCACTGGGTTCTACTCCTGAAACCAATATTACACTGTACGTTAACTAACTTGAATTTAAATTTAAAAAATTAGCAATAAAAAAATATATGTTGAATAGTTAAAATACCCTAAAAAATAACCAAATTTTAAGAAATTATAAAGTCTTTGCCTGCTACTTTATAAATCAGTATTATGATCCTAAATATCACTTAAAAAATTCCATGGTTGTAGGAGCACGAACATGTGTGTCCTAGTCATGTAAGCAATCTTGAATTCTCCCTGATTAAAAATCAAAGTTAAAATCACCTGCCACAGGGTATAGCCAAGTGTCTTTTATACCAAGTTTATCAAAAGAAGTTTATAGTAGTAAACAAAGTTCAATTCAAATATGGTTATGCATCACAACTGCTTGCAATAGTGACAACCGCAGTTATGCATTTGTTTACATTTTACTTATTTATTTTTATTTTTTAATGTTTTTGATTAATTTTTGAGAGAGAGAGAGAGCGAGCAGGGGAGGGGCAGAGAGAGAGGGAGACACAGAATCCAAAGACAGGCTCCAGGCTCTGAGCTGTCAGCACAGAGCCCGACACGGGGCTCGAACTCACGGACTGTGAGATCATGACCTGAACTGAAGTCAGACGCTTAACTGACTGAGCCACCCAGGTGCCCCGCATTTGTTTACATTTTAAATTGTATTAGAATTTAATTGGAGAATTGACACACAATATTATACTAGTTTTAGGTGTACAACTTAGTGATTTGACAATTATATACATTATGAAACATGATGATAAATGTAGTTACCATCTGTCACCATATACCGTTATTATATTACCTCTGACTATATTCCTTATGCTGTACTTTTCAGCCACGATGCTTACTTATTTTAACTTTGTGCCTCTTAATTCCCCTCATCTGTTTTGTCTTTTTCACCCCCTGCCACTATCCTCTCTGGCAACCACTGGTTTGTTCTCTATGAGTTTGTTTCTCTTTCTGTTGTTATTCGTTTCATTTTTTAGACTACACATATAAATGAAATCACATGGTATTAGTCTTCCTCTGTCTGACTTATTTCACTTAACATAATAGCTTCTAAGTCTATCCATGTTGTTGTGAATGGCAAGATTTCATTCATTTTTATGGCTGAGTAATATTCCATTGTGTATATATACCATATCTTCTTTATCCATTTACCAATGGACATTTAGGTGTCTTTCATATCTTTACCACTATTAAATAATACAGAAATAAATATAGGGATGCATATATCTTTTTGAATTAGTGTTTTCATTCTTCAGGTAAGCACCCAGAAGTAGAATTAACTGGATCTGTATGTTACTTCTATTTTTAGTTTTTTAAGGAACCTCCATACTGCTTGCAAATTACATGTCTGATAAGGGGTTAATGTGAAAGTTACATAAAGAACTCCTACAAATCTACACCAAGCAAACATGTCTGATTATAAATGCACAGAGGATCTGAAAAGACATTTTTCCAAAGAAATACAGATGGTCAACCGACACACAAAGAGATGCTCAACATCACTAATCATCAGTAAAATGAAAATCAAACCACAACAAAATATCACCTCACACCAGTCAGAATAGCTAGTATCAAAAAGACAAGAAATAACCAGTGTTGGCAAGGACGGGGAAAAGGGAACCCTCATGAACTACTGGTGGGAATATAAGTTGGTGCAGCCACTCTGGAAAACAGTAGAGAGGTTCCACAAAAACTAAAAAAATAAAATAAAATTTAAAAAAGTATGCATTTTATATGTGTGCAACTTACAAATGATAACTACACAATAGAATTAGAAAATTGGCCGCACTGGTCTATTTGCAAGTCACTTACCATTTTGTATATCTCATTCTCTTCTCTATTTAAATCTTGACATCGAGAATTTTCTTTATCTCAGAAGCAGCAACAAGCTCCTGAAAATTATTTTTATATTATAAAAGATTGTATTTATACATATACATATATATATATTTCCCCCAGAAAATGGTCAATTTTTTGAAACTACCTTTCATATTTATTAAGAGATATAGGCTCAAAAACAATCAGCAAATTAGTAGATTATGTCTATGAACACTTGATTTTTATTGAATGTTGTCAAGACATCAAATGTGCGGGTTCACCTTTGAAAAGTGCTAAATTTGTATTTATTCTTTTGTCCCTAGGCTAACAGCTGAGTGTTGTTTTTTAAAGCACCCATTTGAGGTGCTAAGAGGTCCTAATTAGATGAATTAAACAAACACAACATTAACTTTCAGAAATGAAGTGTCAGAACAGATACCTTTTGATCTGTAGATAACTAAGGGAGCAACAGTAAATTGCAAATAATGTGATTGCATTTCCTGCCTCAACATATTGGGTTTGATAAAAAGTTTTACTTTAGTAACTGCCCAAGATATTGCTCTGAGTAATTGAGAGGGAATAGATTATATTTTAGGGACTGCCAACTGCTTTCATTCTCATTTTTCCTGCCCATGTCAGGAAGGAAGGAAGGAAGAAGGAAGGAAGGAAGGAAGAAGGAAATAGAAAGGCTTCTGTGTTACAGCGTAGCATTGTTATCCTTAGGAGGAGTATGTTGTTTGTAGGGCCACTAAACAAAGTAAAATAGAACAAATAAACATAACAACAACAGCAAACCAGCGGTGATGAATTTTCAGTCAGTTCAATCAACCAATATGTAAGTAGGTACTGGGTTCGTTTTCGAGGGCCATCAAGATCACTTGAGGGATTTACAATCCAATGAGGAAAGGAATACAGATATTTCTACAACTAATGATAACACATGAGACAATGAAATTAATTATAAACATGAACATCTTCTAATTATCTTTGAGGTGGTCAGGGTAAGCATCGCTGAGATAAATTTCAACTGTACCAAAATGAAAACTCAGCACATAACACATGGGAAAAGAGAAGAAGAACAATCCAGATTAAGAGAATAACGTGGGTAAGGACAAAGTGTGATGGGAGAATCTAATTCGAGATTTCACCCAAGCCCAAGTCCAGGAGTTAGGGTAGGAGAAAGAAGAAGTTCAAGTTCAAGGGTGAATTAATGATTTTAGCTTGATGGCTAACTGAGTTTGAAGTCTATGGGAAATTCAGATCTAAAGCTCAGGGTGGGTATCCAAATTAGAGGTAAAGATGGAATCATCCAGACAAAGATGGTAACTGAAGCTCTGGGAGCCCTTGGTCTAGCCCAGAGCTTATGCATCAGTATTGTTAGAGAGTAAACCCACGGAATGCCTATAGTTAAACACAAGTTAGAGAAGATGAGAATAATAAAAAAAACCTCCTTGGAAGCAGCAAGACAACCAAGAAAGAGTGTACCTCAGATACTGTAAGAGGGTAAGCATTTCACGAAGAAGAGAGTGGCCAACATTGTCGAACAATGCACACTAGCAGCAGACTCAGCTATGAGAAAGTCATTTGCACTCTTGGAAGGGGCAGGTTCAGTGACACTGTGGGGTGAGAAACCAGACTGCAGACTGACTTGGGTAAACTGGTCAATCAAGTCATGAGTGAAGAAGTTAGCAAAAAAGCAGGATGGGAAGTTTTTCCAGTGGAAAAGCATATTAGAAAATGGAGAACAGGAAGGCAAATACATCCAAAACAAAACAAAAAACCTCTAACAATATCATTATAAAGTACTATATTTTAACTGTGGTTTCTGTGTGCTATTCATTGAAGAGGTGCCTCAGTAAAAGCCTGAAATTTTCCAGGCAGAGCAATGAGTAGATCACTTCAAACAATTAAATTTTGGCATCTTGAGTTGTGTGATACCGCCTAACTACTAATCTTTAAGGAAAAATATGTGATGTGTGTAATTAAAAAAAAAAGTTTCATATTTAAAAATATTTTTTGATAAAAGATGCATATTCATATCCATAGAGACTTACGAAGCTCTGGAACACAATCTCAGTGTAAGTCTTTCAAAGGACTAATACAGGACAAAACATCTGCAAAGAAGAAAAATAAGACTTTCTTTCTTTTTTTAAAAGTCAAATTTAAAAGTTGAATCTTAAAAGTCAATTGAGCCCGGGTGGCTTAGTCAGTCGAGCGTCGGATTTCAGCTCAGGTCATGATCTCGCGGTTCATGGGTTCAAGCCCGCATTGGGCTCTGTGCTGACAGTGCAGAGTCCACTTCAGATCCTTGGTCTCCCCCTCTCTTTGCCCCTCCCTCTCTCTCTCTCTCTCTCTTAAAAATAAACTTAAAAAAAGTCAAAAAGATCCACTCTTATACCACATGGAAACTAAGGCTATCGTTCACCAAATATTTGAAGAAATAAATGTTTCCCATCCAAATAATTCTCACAAATATTCCTAGATCATGAATATATTTCTCAAAGGATATAATTACTGCTTTCACATCAGATGACCTGAAATTGACATCCTACAAAATAATTGGCTCATGCTCTTTATAAGTGTCAAGGTCATGACAGACAAAGGAAAAATGAGGAGATGTCAGATGAGAGGAGACTAAGGTGACTTGAGAATTGGATCCTGGACCAAGAAAAGGGACCTTAATGAGAAAACCAGGGAGACTTGACCAGGTCTATAGGGTAGTTAATAGAATTGACTCAGTGTTAACTTCCTGGTTTCAATAATTATATTCTGGTTATGCAAAATGGTAATATTTAGGGAAGCTGATGAAAACTATAAGAGAATTTCTACAGTATTTTTCAAACTCTTTTGCAAGTCTGAAATTATTTAAAGTCAAAAGTTAAAAAAGAAAGATTTCTAACTATGAAAAGAGTGAAGAACCATGTCTGGAGAGAATACGAAAACACAAACTTGAGTATGTAGTTATATGTATCTTATTGCTTTAATTTTTTTAAAAAATTTCAACCAGCTGAAAAGTTGCTAGAACCAAATGACAATAAGAAAAACATACTAAAGCTGGGTCACGGATGTGGCGAGAAAGCAACTGTGGGAGAGCATGTCTCGACCAAGCACTTGGATTCAGCTCCTGTATTTCCAACGTGGAAGAAACTTACATGGATTCCCTGGACCCTGAAAAGCTATAATAATGTCCCTATGATAAAAACCACTAGATCAGGGCCCACAGATTTCCCTATCATCTTACCAGGAACAGAAAGAATCATCCTGATGTCGCAAACAAATTGGCTACTTGTCTCCCTCCACCAGGTTCCTTGACCCAAAATCATTCATCACATTTCAAGCTGTGACAATAAAAGTTGTATTGAGCAGGATGTTGTCAACAAAACCAGAAACCTTGAACAAGGGACTCTAGCTGGGAGCACGTGGCAGTATCCTCCTTGTGATGAAGACTAGGATAAAGATCTGTGGGAACAGACCAGCATCCCATTTGCCTGGGACACAGTCAACTACTGTGGCAACAACAGCTCTGAAAGCAAGCAACATAGTTATGGAACATTAGAGTAACCTGGCTTCAGGCATGCATGTTCCCAAGTCTCTGCTGTATGTTCTGCCATGGAAAGACAATAGAAATGCACAGTAACTGAATATCTACCTCCTCAAATGCCAGATCCTAGAAGACTCATGCTTCTTCCTGCTACCAATGGGTTCTTCATTTTTTTTCCTCCTAATCTAATTATAGAAAGATAAACCGTCTATGACTTTAAAACTGAAAAGAGAGAGAGAGAGAGAGAGAGAGAGAAATATACTAAAAATGCTTTGGTCCTAGAGAAAGAAATTTCTTGTTTACATGTGAAGTACTCTGTGTATATTTCAGTAAGTAAACTAATAAACAGAAACTCAGAATGTAATTTTCAATCTGGTTTCTATGTGACTTTATAATGTGAAGATGATGATAAAGGCCAATTTTGAAGTTGCCATGCCATTCAATTTTGAGTATCTACTCTATGCAAGACATTATCATAAGCAAAACATGGTCTTTGATTATGAAAAGAGCCTCATAATGTTGGTAGACTATTATACATGTTTCCCAACAGCAGTATTTCATAGACTGTTATAACAAAGAGGCAAGCCAAGTCCTGTTAGGACATAAGGATTACCTTGCAGTGGTCTGGGCTATCCACCATGGAGAAAATGAGTCAGGGTCATTTGAAGGCAGTAGAAGATTCTGATGAACAGTGATGGAGGCATAAAGGAAAAAAGCATTTTGGGAAGAGAAAAAGCCTAAGCAGAGTCACGAGATAGAGAAGTACAGGGCTGTTTTGATTATCTAATTCAAATAAGAGGGGAAGAGCTCCCGGAGTGAAATTTCATTGAGTGATAGGGAGTGAACAAGATAGTCTGGAGCTTAATGAGCCTTGGGACTCCCAGAAAATTATGCTTTGTAAGTAAATACTACCCCTGTCATGTTCAGGACCAGTACTATTAAATACTGCTCAATACCTTTCTGTCCCTGCATTCAGAGTATTTTCATAGTACCAAAAGTATGAAATATACATTTTAGTTGTCTACTCCAAAATGGTACTAGAAAATTCCAAAGAATCTAGATCTTAAAATATGTTCCAGGTGCACTGTTTTGCAAGTAAGCAATTACAATTCACTGTCCACTTCTAAAAGGTCAATAATTCAGCTTGCTCTACACGATCCTAGACCCAACATCAAGCTGCCCACTGAAGTTTTACAAACCTGAAACCTTCTTTGCTAACTGGATAGGAATTTCATTCTAGCAGCAAATGCTAAAGTATTCTAGCAGCACTTTCCTCTATCAAATAGTAGTTTCAGAACATGTTAATATTGGTGTGATGTAAAAAAGTATCTCTTCAGTAAATAAGTTTGGTAAACACTGGATGAAGGAAGGTTAATCAGATATCTTTGCTGTAGGAGTTATCAGAACCTTGATAACGCTAATGAGAAATACAGTACTCAATGAGGAGGGAGATAATACCAATTGTTAAACCCATAGGAGTCTAGTGATACAAGTGTTGCAGAGAACTGCACATTTGAAAACTGCACCAGATGC